AAATCATACTGTCTGTCTCAGTGCAGGCCAGGAAATAAAAGGAAAAATTTAAATGGCTTATCTTTACAACACAGCTTATTTACACACCTACATGCAAGTGACCTACTAGTGTAATAAGAAATAGCAGTCATGAGATAACATAGCTCTGTGCCCACTGGCATGTAACAATCTTTATTATATTCTTCATACTTTATGTGCACACCTGGCATATTATGCTTTTTATATTTCATGTGCATACCTGGCATATTATGCTTTTTATATTTCACATGCACACCTGGCATATTATACTTTTTATATTTCATGTGCACACTGGCCTATTATATTTTATATTTTATGTGCACACTGGCATATTATACTCTGTGTACTTTGTGTTTCCACTGGCATATTATACTCTTTATATTTTATGTGCCCACTGGCATATTGTACTTTTTATACTTTATGTGCACAGTCGCATATAACAATCTTTATTATGTTCTTTATATTTTACCCTCTGTCTTCACCCCCAGCTTCCTTCCTTTCACACGTCCCCTCCTTTCCTTGCCTCCTTCCTTCCTCAGATTCTTGCATGCCACAGTCTGCCTGTGGAATCCCAGCTATGTGCTCTCACAGTGGGGAAGCTGGAACTTGGCTCTATTCCTCCTCCCTTCCTTGAATTAATCTCCTTTCCATATGCTGTGCATCCCAGCTCTGGCCACAGCGAAGTGCTCATAGCTGAGCAGTGTGTAAAAGCTGACTGAGCCGGGTTATTTTTACTGAGAGTCTAGTTACCAACAGGTGAGTGTCTGGCTACACCAAAACAAGCTGTTCATAAGTTCCCTCCAGCAATACAATCAAAGACAACGTGACAGCTTGAGAACGTCTTAAGAGTTAGAATCCCATGAGGTTCTCTGACTTTTTAACTCTATTATCACACTTGGGAGTTATAAATGTAATATAAATGTCATGAAAAAGACAATTATGATATCTTTAAAGTGTCCCTATGCTTTTGCCGCACATAAAATGACCTTCTCCAGGTCTGTTCCATGTTTTGCACTGACTGTAGCGAATATCATTGCAGATTTCTACCTGCTCTAGCTTGGGCTAAAACTCACACACAGAGTTCACTCATTTCCTACATCCTGAGTGCTGAGCGGAGGGTCTTGCTGGAGTCACGTGATCAGCCCAGTGTTGTAATAAGAAAAAAAACCGCTGAGAACAGCAAAGAGCCAAGAAAATCACTGCTGACAGACTGAACTAGAAAGATCATTTACTGTAACACTAAGTTACAGTTACAAGCGGCCTGTTTAGCAATTTTGTATGTTATATTAAAAAGTGCAGTTATTGTCAAATACTTGTTAAAGCAGACAAAACCAAATCAAAAACCTTTTCTGTAAGGTGATAAAAAGAAAGGGAGAGCATAAACCTACTTTGTATCAGAAGTCATTGTTCCAAGGTTGTACAAACGGCCAGTCACATGACTTCTGTTGGGGGTGGGAAACAGTTGGTGGCTCTGCCTGAACCTTGGGTCCTCCTTCAGTAGTATTTGCAATCAATGCCTAGATATTTGGCCACAAGACCAACTCCGCTGACATCCCTGGGCAGTTTTTTTTTTTTTTAAAGTGTGCACATTTTAATACATTTGTTCTAGGTTCAGGGAGTCTGGCCCAGGCAGTTTTCAACCCCGGGCAATTTAGCACCCCTAGGCATCATTCACACTTGTGAATAGAACAGTCAATGGATTCCTGCTTCAAGAACCTGTGGAACCCTTCAGCTGGGATAATAGGTGGTTACAAAAAGCTGCAGTTGATAAGCCCGCAAAAGACAATGACAGGCTAATAGAAGGCTTGGCTATCCACCATTGTTCGAATGTATGCACATAACCAGGTGTTATCTGTGGTAAGGGACAGATGGACCTTGGATGCAATCAGTCTGTGTCCAGGGTAGGTCATATGCACCTATCTGCAGGTAAAGGCTGATTGTGCAGATACATGTGAACAGTAGTGGACAGCCACAGCTACTGTCAGTCTGTCATTGCTGGTGTACAGGCTTCCCTGCTGCAGCCATTCACAACCACCTGTGATTCTAGCCATATGAATCCACTGACTGCTCTATTTCCAAGTGTGAATGAGACTAGGACCTTCCAACCACACTGGTTTTCCAGTGAAGGAGCAAAAAGCCATTATTTAAATGCTAACCTGTACTACAGAACTGTAGTATGGCTTACCAGGACCTATAGCGGACATCCAATATTTTGTAATTGGAAACACACAATAATAATAATAATAATAATAATAATAAAATAAAAAAAAAAAAAAAAAAAAAAAAAACTGACACCTTGGGGACCAGTAGAAGCAATCACCCACTGACATTTTTAAACATAAAAAGGGGTTGTCACCACCAAGTGTATATTGTTACCCTTAAAGATTTCTAGATCCAATGCTTGGATTACTACAAAGATCACAATGTAACCTAGGCCAGTTAGGTTAGGGCATAAGTAGCCATTTAATCTGTATGGGGTTTCGGGCTAGTGTTTGATAAACAAAGATACAGTAAATTTTTTAAAAGTCAGCTTCATTCAAAATTCATTACGTCTAACATTTCATTGGTAGGACATAATGTACCTGGTGCAGTCTGTACCTTAAAGTAGAGCTATAATCAAAACTTTTTTTCCCCCATTTTGGAAAGAGCAAGGGAGGGTTATAACCCGTCAGATTTGTTTTTGTCATCTGTGTCCCATTGAGGAGATATACCTTCACATCCTGCCCCATTGCCAAAAACAGGAAGCAGGAAAATCCCTGTAAATTAAGGGAATCCCTTGGGGACCCCCAGGTCACCAAATCTAGTGTACCCATTGGCAAATTTCCCCTTGATTACTTTTCTGGGGACAACCCAAAATTTAGGATTTTCTTTCACTTTCAATGATAGTGGTAAACAGGACAAATAGAGGGCGTGAATCTCCCTAAGGGGGCACAGTCAGCAATAAAAGCCTGGCAGGTGTTCCACTCTACCCAAAACTAAAAAGGCATTTTGCCTTTAGTTATACCTTAACCTTGTCCTATGTGGCCATAACACAGGTGTCACTCTTTGGCAGTTGGGGGTGTGTGACACCATCATTTGGCTTTGTAATGGATGTGGAAATTTGGCTGAAACAGATTTCTTATGGGGAGTTTTCAACAGTGGAGTCTCTCCAATTTAAAATAAAATAAAAAAAAAAAAAAAAGAAGGAGGAGGTCAGCATGGGATCCAACTTTCACTTCTGGGAGGGGCTGGCCTTTAAGAACAGAACTGTAGTCGCTTTTGAAGGATCAGTTGCTTCCAGTGAGAAATGCTCATATCTGCCTCATCGCCTGCAGGGACAGCACAGCTGCATACAGCTGTCTACAGAACACTGCCACGCACTCGGCAGAAACAAGTTGCAAAACTTTATCTCCCACTGGGCTGAAGAGATACTTCAACAGCAAGCACAAGCATTAGGATACGAGATAACAAAAATCATTCTGAAAAGTGTACGGTCTAGTGTACAAAATGACATTTTTCAGGTGGAGAAGTATGCGTTTGAAAAGCACCATCACCGAAACACAGTAACAGCTGACATTTTGTAACTACTTTGCTCAGAATACACTGATCAGCACTGCACCCATCTGGCTGTATGTTGCTGATTAAACACAAGTTTTCCAACATTCAAGAGTAGTTGATCACAAGGTCGACTCCTCTTATATGGGAATGACCATAGATGGATAGAAATCAGCTGGTCCCTGTTGAACTGGCCAAATCTGGATCCATCTATGGCCAGCCTAAATGAACATGTAAAAAGGGCATTGCACTCAGGTCATGGCTACTAACCAGGGTTAACAGTATACAAAATAAGTGGGGCTTATTTACTAAAGCCGGTTCACTCCGAATCTCATGCACTTCTGCATTGAAACCAATCGGCTTCCAGGTTTTACTGCTAAAGCTTAATTGGACAAGCTGAGGTTAGAAGCTGATTGGCTACCATGCATAGATGCACCAGATTCTGAGTGAACCAGCCTTAGTAAATAAACCCCAGTATGTGCTCAAGTCAAGAACAGACATAGATAAGTCAAGCTGCAAAGAGAGCAAAGTACAGGGCTTGCATTCTAAGGAAACACACAGCTAAACACCCCCAGAACCAATCACATGCAACAGTCCTCCCCTTACACTCCACAGACGCGCCAGGCAATGGAGCAGACACTCACCGAAGGCACAGGGAAAGAGCCGTGGCGGCTCAGAAAAGCAGTTAGAGACTGAGAGACTGATGCCCTGAGGGTGGCTGCTGTCCTCAGGTACGTTGAAGACCCCTTTGGCTGGCTGTGCACAGTACGAGACAGAGGAGAAGGAAGAGGCAGCAAAGGGAGCCTGCTGGAAAAAGTGAGATAGAGAGGCAGGTGGAAGAGAAAATAAAGGGAAGGCAGATACAAACAGCACCACATCAACATAAAGCCTGAGCTCTAATCAAATGAAGAGGATTTCAATTACACTTGTCATTAAGCAACTCAATATGAACCAGCATTTCCAGGCAGTAGAAAGCATGTAAGGTTCCAAAAATGGCCCCTGTTTGGCTAGACTGAGCTCCAAGGAGCATGCAGCATATGCAAGAATTTTCCCCAGGTAGGTGCATAAAATGAAGAACCAAACTTAAATATTGTGGTAAACATACTAATAACAGCCTTTTACATCATTTTACCTCAATGTTCCTACAGTTGCACACTGTGTCAAAAAATGGATGTACAGTCCAATAGTACCCAGTGCTCAATCTCACTGCTCTGGGCTAACAGAACTTGTTAGACACATCCCCTGCTTTCTCAGCAATGGAAGCATTTCCAAGGACACTTGTGATAAGGGGTGAGCCCCACTAATCTCAAAACCTGGGGATCCCAATCATGCAAATTCCAGTTCAGATAAACAGCGGTTAGTGCCTACCTGCCAAAACCACCTTGCCATCAGTTAGTGAGCCTGCCTATAACACTGACAGGCCAACAATGATATGCAAGTAGTGAAAAGGGTGGGGAAGGGCTCAAATGTCTGAGCTGAAATATGCAGCTTTGGAGCTCCCAGAAAGATATATAAAAATACATACAGGTACCTCTAGATGCCTACTGTTCCACCATGCAAATAATTTAACATGTTGATATAAAGATCTGCCACTTTAAGGGTCGTCTTTAATGCTTGCTGCATGTTCCACAGAGCTCAGTTTAGCTACAGTAAGGACATGTCATGCTGCTCTCTTTTGGGTGATAAAGACGGATTCATACTAAGCAAAGAAATAAGTGGCCACAATCAAAGCTTCTATTTGTTTAAATTCTTCTGAATGTGTATGACTGATCGAGCCACCAGGACCTCATAAATAACTTGTAATTGCACTGGAGTTATGCTGTCACTTTAAATGCAAACACCGATTAGAAGATGTCCTCTTTAACTTCATTAAACAGTAATATCTCTACTATAGTTGGGCCAGAAATGCTTTTTCATAAAACCCAGGACACTGTGATTAAAGGCCATGATATGGGACAGAGGAGATTTCCAGTGAAATATGACACGCGGTGAACAACATCTGAATCACTTTCCTTTTAACTCCAGCTGTTTTACACTTCAAGGAAAGGAAAAAAATTCACCCTCTTGCACAGCACACCCCAAATGTGCTTCTCTTTAGGTATTCTTCCAATTTCTTCGGGCAGGCAAGCCAAAAAGGCATTTAAATGGGGCTGCATTGTGTCCTCTTATTAACTCTTCATAGTCCTCAAAGAGTTCTACAATGTCAATTGGATAAGTTATTAGAGCTACTTTTTCATGAAAGTCTAGATACTAGGAAGGTGGTTGACATATTGCAATGTGCAATAACAATACACAAAATGTCTACATTTTAAAAACACAAACCAGACATAAGTTAAAAGGTTAGAGAAGAAACAGGAGGCACCTCCTGTTTCTTCTCTTCCTTATCTTTGTATACAGAGCTGGCCTTACTCTATAGGACATCAGTACTCAGAGACTTTTTATGGACTTTATTCATTTACCACCTGTGTGCTAATATGATTTGATCATGTTCTTTGCAAGTTCATGTTGAACCACCTCATTTACTCTACATGACGTACGTCTAATTTCCCCCCTTCTTTTATTGAATGCTTATTTACACGCTGAGCGCCAGATCTTCCTCTGCTTTCATAAGTTAAAGGGTTACCCACCAAAAACTGAGTATTTTAAAATTTTAGGAAGGTGGAGAATTAAGTTTATTCAAAGGCAACATTTTACACTCTACTGATGTTTATTTTCTCCATTACAAAGAGTAATGGGAAATACCACATTTTAGTTGCCACGGTAACAAAAGCGGTCCATAAAAAGACCAAATGTCAGCTGATTTCTGCTGAATCAGCTGAAATTAATTTAGTAGATGGCCCTGTTGGCACCACCCAGCTCTACAAAAGTTGATCTTTCAATCGCCTTTTGTCCAAAGAAATTTTAGTCGAACGGTGCACTTTTATCAAATGCAGACACTGTTTGGGTATTCTGGTAGTCACCTGCTATCAGAATTAAAAAGCCACCACTGCAGATTCTTCCATCCAGGCTGTTTAGCATGAATGGCACATTGAGTGATCCCTCTCATTCTGCCCACAGGGCTCAAGGTCTCCTCCAGGATACACTGTATACAGCCAAGAACTAGAACAGTGAGCTGGAGTTCCCAATACCTATAAAGAAACCAGCAGTGACTCACCTGACCGATAACTAAAAGAAAAATGTAGGGTGGGCCAAACCCTACCAAAAACTAATAATACAGATATGCAGTAATATTCAACATTTCAGAGATGGGGTTGAACTATCCCCAGCTGATTTCCCAGTCCTGTGATTATTACAAAAGCAAGCGATGGTGTCACGCTCCCACGATGGACTCTCTATAGTGTAACAAAGCAATATTTGCACATTCTATATGCAAGGGAGGAATGCTTTGTTGTGGCCTTGTGGGAAGGAGCACACACTAAATCTGGGAAAATGTATCACTGTGGCAGCCAAAAATACAAGAAAATATGAGGTGATTCAACCCAACAGCACCCACCCAAAGCTAAAAAGATTTAAAAAATAAAGAAATGGGTGGAGTTTCCTTTTAACATGCTGGATACCTTATTACTGAACTTCCCAATTATTCTAATGCATCACCGTGTGTCATGCTGAATAAACAAATTGATTCAGCATATGATATTCTTAGGAAACAGAAGTAATAGTTCCTAAATCTATATAATGATATAAAGTTTTAGAATTTTATAATGCATGGATCTTTATGCAGGGGAAAAGCTCATCTATGATGCACGAAGGCATTGTGCTACAGCTGCTTCACATATTGTGAAATAACTGGTGATTTCATTGGCTATTTTTAGAAAGCATTACTCAATATAATGTCTAATTCTTTTTATTAGGAAACTCTTTTCCTTTGCTCCACAATAGATTATTTTTAAAAGCCCGATTCAGGGGCAGAGGAGCTGTACTTCACAGCACAGCCAGACTAAGTCTAATCTATACTCCAGCTAAAACTGAAAAAGGAGCCCAGATGCTGGCAGTTTAAATGGGTAGCCCAGTGTTCTGGGAATAGTATCTTCATAACTGGACCCACTTATGTTTCAGTCCACAGAGGATCCAAAACATGCAATAATGGTTTCCCCTCACACTGTGCCCCATCCACACAGCTCAGGACCATCTGCTAATCTGTAGTGTTCACCTACTGTTTAGAGCTGCTCTTTAAGGTACTAATAGACTCACCTGTACATATCTATCATTCTTTCAGTCTACTTCATTCAGTTTCTGGAAGTGAACGGAAACACCTGAACAGCTTTGGTATGGGCCTGTGATTCAGGAACGGGGAGGAAGTCTTTAGCCCCATAAACTCTAGGTTGCTTCCACTCAATGCTTCTACTGGACAAAAAGAGTGGTAAGGAAGCACATGGATGTGGGGTATGTGCAGATGGGGAGGGCAGCCTTAAAATTGAACCTGTTGCTTTGAGGTACGTGGAGTTTTGCCGTTACCATGGCTTCATTTCCTGCATATACTTGTTTTGGACTGGCAACTCAAAGTTCTGTAGCCATATCAGCCCAAACAGCAATTAGTATTTTCAGCAGGCGATATGGCAGCTTCTGTATTTATTTTAGTCTAGGTTTTCTTCACTAAATGATGATAATTGTCACATGTAATTACATTTTTAGTTGCAAGTGAAATGTGCATCCTCAACATAATCGGTAAAAAAACAATAGGGTAATGCAGGAAAACCAATCATGTAAAGGCTACATATATGATGACAGCCTTTTAATCTGCAGTATTTATCACTAAGCAGCAGAGCTGTAGAGACAGACCGGCATGCTGGCACTTACCAATTGCCTCTGTTTAGGGGGTAGGGCAGGTGGTGGAGCACGTTCAACTCCGGATTCTGCACTACTGAACGAATCATGAATGCCATACACCTCCCGCAGAAGTTTGTTCTTCTGCTGGTAGACCTGCTCGTTCTGCGGAGTTTGATAGAAGACAGATGGCTGGGGCTCTGAGTAGTCCTCCACAAAACGCATATATGTCATCACTGGAATATAAAATTGCATACTGTAATAGACAGGCAATGCAGTGGAGGAATCTAAACATACTCTCCAATGAATAAAAGGATAAGTACATTTTCAGACAAGTGCATTTATTGCCTTTGCCTGTTCCGCTCTTCCAAACTAGCCGATCTTCCCCAAGTACATACTCACCTTGCAAAAATTGGATTTTTTTTTCTACATACTTACCTGTAAAATCCATTTCTTGGAGTACATCACAGGACACAGAGCAGGCTATTCATGACTATGTGGGTTATATGCCACCTATAGGTGAATGGACACTGGCCGACCAATCAGAGAGGAAGTCCTCCCTTATACAAAACCCTCCTACACAGGAAGTACTTCAGTTTCTGTAGCAAGCAATGAAACTCCAAAAAGAGGGGCGGGACGGGACCTTCGTGTCCCATGATGTACTCCAATAAATGGACTTTACAGGTAAGTATGTAGAAAAAATCAAATTTTCTTTATCGTACATCATGGGACCATAGCAGGCTATTCATGACTATGTGGGACGTCCTTGAGGGGTGGGTGTTATCACAATAACCACCGCCATTAATCCCAAAAAGAGTTACTCAGCTGTTCGCAATACACTGCAGCCAAAGGCAGAACCCTCCGTGTGTCTGACATCCACCTGGTAAAACCTTGTGACTATGAGTTGAAGACCATGTAGCGGCATTGCAAACCTGACAAATGATGCATTATGGCAGACAGCCCAAGATGCCCCCACACTTCTGATAAAGTGTGCTCTCACCTGAAAGGTTGGGACCTTATTCTTCAAGTCATACCGGTGAATCCAATGAGAAAAAGTTGACCTGGAAGCCGCCTGCCCTTTCAATGCCCTTCTGGCAGCACAAACCAGGCATCCTGACTTGTGCTGCCAAACCCAAGTAAATCCTGACCATCCAAAATACATTCAGAGTATGCAGAGATCTTTCCCCTGTCAACTGTGGACTAGGAAAATAAGAAAGGCAAGACACGGTCTTGATATAAGTGAAGACTAAAAACCACTCTGGGCAAGAAGATGGGGACACAACATCACCTCATCATTTTGCAAGACCAAGAACAGCTCCTTACATGAAAGGGCTGCCAGCTCTTTCACTCTTCCTGCCAAAGGGACAGTAATCAAAAAAGCCACCTTCCGAGTCAAAAGATTAAACTTCTGTAATTGGTTCAAAAGGTGAAAATCCAAAAATCCAATCCTTATGGGGCTGCTATAGATTTATCCCAAACAATAAATTAATACACCTGGTGAAAAAAAACTAACCAAAATAAAATGCGATATAAAATATAATACAAAAATGTAAAATCTAGCCGCAGTGCGTTCAGTGACCTCTCATACTAACCAAGAATAAGTGCTGCGCTAGTCGCACAGTAATATTGTACATGTGATACTAAACCTCACAAAACTTAAGCCACAAGCAATAACATTCTAAACTTCTGTGATAATGAAATGATGCAAAACTATGCATATAAATCAATACATATATACACTGCTCAAAAAAATGAAAGGAACACTTTGAAAACAGATCAGATCTCAATGGGGAAAAATATCATGCTGGATATCTATACGGATATGGACTGGGTAATGTGTTAGGAACATAAGGATGCCCCATCGTTTCATAGAAATGAAAATTGTAAACCTACAGAGGACTGAAGTTAAAGACACCCCGAAAATCAAAGTGAAAAAATGACGCAACGGGCTAGTCCATTTCGCTGAACTTTAATTGCAGCAACTCAAAATGGTACTCCATAGTTTGTATGGCCCTCACGTGCTTGTATGCCTGACAACATCCCACACCAAGGTATAAAGCCAATAAAATAGATGTCGCAATGTTCGCATTTACCGCTGTGTACTATCCAGACCACTTGCCAGGTTCCGTATAGATGTAGTAACGTCATCCAAGCACAGTGCTGACGCTTTTCGTCACAGGGCAATAGAAATAATTCCCCTTGAAGAAGTCATGTGCCCTGTGACGAAACGCAATTGCGAACATCGCGACATATTTTATTGGCTGTATACCTCGATGCGGGCTGGTACCTTATACATGTGAGTGCAATACATATGTTGTTTGAGGTAAAGTATTTTAAGGATAAGGCACTATTTGCAATATTCTTTGCATGTCATGGAGCAGAACTTGGTGGAGGAGGAGATACGCGTGTAAAATTGGAGCCCTAACTGGAGAGGAGGAACCAATCCTGGTCCCGTTGGTATTACCAAAAGCGCTGTTGACCGAACACTTAGTGGAAGGTCATATCTTTAAGCTGAGAGTTCACCTGGTGACGGCTGGGTGCTGAAATTAATGTTGAATTTCGTTACACGGAGGTGAAGTCTAGTTCTGAAGCAAGCCGGGCTTTCAGCTTATAATTGGACTTTTTATTTGCATATTGTGGTTTGAGACTGGGATATTCAATCACTGGTATCGGTATTTATATATATGTATTGATTTATATGCATAGTAAATCATCATTTCATTATCACAGAAGTTTTACAGAATGTTATTGAGTGCAGTTTAATTTTTGTGGGGTTTAGCATCACATGTGCATTATTATTGTGCGACTAGAACAGAACAAATTTTGATATATTGGTTCAAAAGGTGGCCTCTGTAAGAACAGCCACCATGAGAATGACCAGTTATATTTCTTTTTAAAAAAACACTGCAAGCGTAAAGTTACCATTCCCTCCGCAGGATTCTGAATTGTAACAGGAGTCCAACCTTCACCCATCACGGCAGGCTCTGTCATGCAGACCTTAAAGGACTCGGTCCCCCTTTCTGCTTCGGGGGCCACTACCTTGGACCCATACAGCACCCTGCTGGAAAGCACCTTGGTCAGAACAAACACTGCACAGGGTTCCATTACACAGGGTCCAGCACCATATGGCTACATTACAGATATAATCCTTAGGGTTTTTTTCCTATTCAGCGAGGCTTGGGTACCATCCATTTTGGCTAACAGCTTTTCGAATGGATCCGCCTGAAGTCCTATATTCTCAGCAGAGCTGTTCCAGACCATCCACCTGACATTGGCAAAAATACTTACATACTTCCTGTGTAGGAGGGGTTACTTTTGCCTACAATTATCAAAATATTCCAATGGGTTTATCCACAATTTCAACTCCTTAAAGTCGATTGAAATCATCAAATCACTATTTTTAATCCCTCAGTGGTTCGATTGAAAGTTGCTGAATGTATGGTTAGCTTTAAAGTGGTTCTGAAGGCAAAAGGTTTTTTTTACCTTCATGCATTCTATGCATAAAGGGAAACAAACTTCTGCATGTAGCAGCCCCCCTAACACTTATCTGAGCCCCCTTCTAGATCCAGTGATGTCCACAATGGGATCCTATCATGGGAATCTATAATGGTTTTGGTTCAATTGTAATTTTTATGTAATTGAACGTTTATGAAAAATGTAACACAGGACAAAGGATTCCCAGAGCATGACTTTAGGATCGGCCAACCTGACTGAAGCCTTGGACAGACTTGTTTGGAGTGGGAGGGGATGAATCACTGCTCTGGCTTTATACACAAGTCAGTATAAATTTTACTTTGAATACTTTTAACTGCTGAGCTCTGCAAACAGGCTTTTTATTAAAACAGATAGTAAAGCAAAAACTTAAAACATTCTGAAAAGTAACCTGAAACTCCACTTGCATACAAAAAAAAAACCCTGAAATTTCCAGTATTACCAAATCTGACATAACTCATATTAGTTTGACTTAAAAGGTCACAGCTGTGTCCCTTCCCGCTGCTTATAATAGCAATTGCACCTAAAAAAAAAGAAAAAAAAAAAGAAAAAGATACATGGGTGATGTCTGCAGCGAAAGTCCAGTGATGTATGGGTACATCGCTGGACGGGAACTGGTTAAACAGTTTTCTTTTTTTTAAATAAACATGTAGTACAGGGTGCTCACATGACGCTGATGTCACTGACCAGTATGTTATTGCCTTTTCTTTCTCTAATTTAAACTATCAAAAAATGGAGACAGAGAAAGAGAGGGAGAAGTCAGTCCTCTGAATGATTCAAATAACCTGCACTTTTGCAATCCACCCATGTAAGCAGGATTATTTCAGCGGTGCAGTCATTGTAGGCTTGGTAAATACATCAAAAAGAGCCTAGAAATTAATCAACTGGCTCAAATGGCTCAAAATAGTAAATGTGAACACAATAACCACTTACTGACCAGCCGCAGTACATATGAGGCTGGACAGCACCTTCAGGCAAAATCACATACACATACGTTATTTTGCCTGCTATGGTTCAGGGGGGTGCTGCGTACTCCCTGGGGTGTGCAGTGCGCCCCCCTCCTTCAATGGACCAGACTCTGTGGAATGAGGATCCCGGTTCTCAGGTCCCAGCGATCATGTCAACAATCTAGCAGTGTAGATTAGCTGTAGCCAATCACAGATCACAAGTGATCACAGCTGTCATGAATGGTTAACCCATTTATGACAGTTGAAAACCTTGCTGTTGCAATGATCTTCATTGTAGAGTTAATTTCCACTTCAAGCAATGGCATCAATACTGTAGGATAACCCAGGCATCCTACTCGCCAATGACCAGACCTGCAAGAGCTGCCTAGGCCTACAGCAGGTCCGCAAGGATTTCCCAAATGCTGGGCAGACGCTTAGCCACTTAATCAACACAACTGTGGATGGCTTGCGTCCAAGGGCGCGGGATTCCTTATATGGCTGTTCAATTATGCCAACCTGAGGCAGACAAAGGCATCTCAAGTCTATCACAGCTGACTAATTCATGCAGACAGTCTCTGAGCAGCATGATGTGAAGAGATGAGCACTTGTCCAAGAATATCGCAAAATGTTACGATGAAAGAAACCCAACGCACGCCATTTTAGGATATGAACAATGCCGGGGGTAACTTGTAAGGGAATGCTTACAGTGATTCTAAAGGCTCAAGGTTTTTACCTCCATGCATTCTATGCATGAAGGTAAAAAAAAAACTTTCTGTATGCAGCCCCCCTCCTCCCAATCCTTAACTGAGCCCCCTCCGATCCAGCAATGTTCACCACAGCCTCAGCTGTATAGGGACCTCATTGGCGAAGACTGCTGCTGTCAATCACAGCCAGTGATCCAATGAGGGGAGAGCAGGGGTGCAAGGCTGAGCTGCAGTTCTATGTGTCTTAAGGATACACAGAGCAGCAGCTCAGGAGCAAGCATGCAGCCGTGCCCCCAGGGCAAGCAGCTTTCTCTGGGGGAACTGCTTGAGGGGGAGAAACTAGAGCGCAGGCGGGGCACCTGAAAAGAAAAGGATCGGAGCAGTTGTGTGCAAAACAACTGCCCAGAGCAGGTAAGTTTATTTTATTTTATTTTTTTTAAAGCACTAGATTCCTTTTTTTTTGATCGAATGCTTTACATTGTAGAGGAGAGAGATCTCTATCTCTACATAAAGAGGACCGGTCACTAATTATTTCTATCACAAGGGATGTATGCATTTCTTGCGATAAGAACAAAAGTGATTAAATTTTTTTTTAAAGGGACAGTGCAAGAAAAAAAATTTTTTTTTTTTTTTTTTTTTTTTAAATTTTAAAGTGCCCCCATCCCCCCGTGCTCGCACGTAGTGGTGAACGCATACATAGGCCATACCCACATATGTAAATGGTGTTCAAACCACACACGTGAGGTATCACCACGAACGTCAGAGAAAGAGAAATAATTCTCACACTAGACCTCCTCTGTAACTTTAAACTGGTAATCTGTAGAAATTTTTAAAGCATCACCCATGGAGATTTTTAAGTACCGTAGTTTGGCGCCATTCCACGACCCTTTTTACTCCCAACCATTAAAGTGTATATTTTTCCAAAAAAATTGCAATAAAAATATATAAAATTTTAAAAAACTGTCCATTTCGGTTTCAGTTTTCGGCCAAGTGCATCCTGAATTTTCGGTTTTGGTACCAGAATTTTCATTTCAGTGCACCACTACTTCAAACACAAGGCTGACTACCAGTGAATGATCTAACCAAGCGCAGAACCTCGTAAATGGAATAATTACATTAAGACCATATTCAAACGGGTTTAAAGACCCATACCTCTGTGCAGAGGGTCATGTTTATGTGCACGGGGAATGCCAGATGTTGCATGCATCCAGCCTATCAAAATCAACAACAGCCCGAGAGATACTACAAGGTGGATTTACTAAAGGCAAATAGACTGTGCACTTTGCAATTGCAGTTTCTTTAATTTTCCCAACAGATTTGTAAAAGCACTATAGCCCTGCTGATTTCCATCATCCAATCATGTGCAAGCAAAAATGCTGGTTTTTATTTTCTTTGCACCTGACTTGGTATTTTTTACAAAGTGAAGCTGCACATTTATAAATGAGTGCAATAGCACTTGCAAAGTGTGCAGTCTATTTGCCTTTAGTAAATCCACCTCAATGGCTGTAAATCTTTTTCTGAATATGCCAGTGTTTACATCCATACAGTTGGGGGCACACAGCTCTGGGAGCAGATTTTGCTGCAAAAGCAAAGTTTTCTTTTAGCTGCAAAAGATTTGTGTCACTTCTGTTCAGCCACACTTCCTAGCGAACAAACAGAGACTACTATTATCTGGTTGAGCTTTGCAGCAACCTGAGCCCCTTTTACCTGCTCACAAGAAAGTGAATTAGTACTGTGATCATGTTAATTAATTGTCCAACAGAAAGTCTGGAGGCAGAGAGGTGACAGTGAAAATACAAAACCTGAAACAGGAAATAGAGTTGCAAACTACTAGGGTGTGCGATGTGGCAGAAACTGACAATCACAAGACTGACTGCACAGAATTACAGTTTACATTCATGAATTTCAATGACATATATAGCAGTATGACTAGACTTTCATTTTAGATAGACAAATACGGTAAAAGTGGAACTAATGGCAGCCCTTCATCCCTTGACATTTTGCCGCCTTGGCCCAAACTCAAATTCTTGCCAAACCCTATGATTCTGTACAGAGGGCCCCACAGTACAAAACAAAGCATTGTGCAGCAGTGGGAAGATCATGAAACTCACTGTGTTTGTTCTTCTTTTCGGGAAGAGGTGGAGGCTTTTCTGAAATGTCGTCATTCTCTGCTGCTACAAAATCACCAAGGAAATCCACCTGAGGGGTGTTCCCAGGTTGAAATGGGGAAACAGCAGCAAATGGAGTACTAGAAGGGGGGAGCAGCAGATCGTCCTCAGAAATATTGTCATACTGGGAGGGATGTCTCTCATAGCTGACTCGGGAGCCATCCGCGTTATGGGTAACGGCACTTCTGCGTTTCTTCTCGGGAAGAGCAGGAGGGGTCTCTACAGTAAAGGGGTGAGAGGATTCTGAGTGCTGAGGAGAGCTGGGAGGTAATTGGAAGTTTTGTCCGTGAAAAGGGGAACCGGTCTCTCCTAGGGATTCGGGGAGAGGACTGAGGACTCCAGTTACTTGACCCAGTACTTGATCTGTGCTAGAGAGGTCTTGCTGCAGGAATTCGTAATCTGGATCATAGTTATCTGTAATGAAGGCATAAAAGACAAAGTAATCAGAACAATTACAATAAAATGTTTGCTATAACTAAGCCCTCATAGCAACGCTAAATTATGGTTAGTTCACCCAGAATTGCGATTTCATGTACGGATGGATTGTGTAGTAGACATGCCACCCTGATAGCCCATAGGGATATCACTGATAAATTTCTGAACTTTTTGCATCTCCCTTTGAACCTTTTGGTGTTCCCACCCTCACTGGCAAATCTACCCCTCACCTTACATTCTCAATGACCTAAAATGCAATAAAAAAAAAAAACACACACAGTGTATGATCATTGCACATGTTAAAACATTTAATCTTTGCACATGTAAAGGGTTCTTTACCATTTGAGTTGTAAAAATAAAGAGCAATTTTCACCAGGAGCTTGTTATAGTTGAACTAGTAAATGGTTTCACAAAAGGGGCTAGGTGTGTTCCCAAATACACAAGGAATATGTTACTTGTTACAACATTTATAAAGCATTGACAATTTACGAAACGCTTAACGTATTTGTACATTCACATCACTTTCTGTCCTCAAGGAGCTTACAATCTAAGATCCCTATCTTAAATGCACATATACACATGCTAGGACCAATTTGTAAAGGAGCCGCTTCACCTATCATCACGTCTTAGGAATGTGAGAGGAAAACGGGAGTTCCTCTAAGAAACCCACACAAGCATGCAAACTCCATGCAGATAGTGTCCTAACCAGGTTCGAACTGGGAACCCTGGTGCTGCAAGGCAAAAGTGCTAACCACTAAGCCACAGTATAAATTGCTGCTAATAATTATAAGGGGTAACAGTGTATAACGTTCATCAGGGAGGATCCAACAGGTTTTGGGGCATAAGGAAGGATTTTTGTCCCTGCTGGAACAAATTGAAGCCCTTGGACCAAACTTATAAGGCTTTTCTCTGGATCAGCTAAAGACTTTACAGGTTTTTTTTTTAATCTGATGATCAATTAACCTCGAAATGCAAATCAGAGACCTTGAAAGATATAAACCACGTATTTAACTCTCTAGCATCTACTGAAAAATGGGAACACTGGATCTAGATGCTGATGTTTTACACATTATGGTGCTCATATCAGTGGTGTGTCTCCTTGAGGCCAATGCTGAGCTGCCCCTAATCCTTTTCCTCAGTTAGTTGGAAGAATAAACCTGGCTATTCAGCTGCTGTTCAAATGGATGTTCATAAAGCTAGCAACATCTCTGAAGGCTGGTACACACAGGCTGAATATTGGCCGGTTCAACAGAAATCGGCCAACATTCAGCTAGTGTGTACAGCAGCCTGTCCAACTTCTGTTGAAAGTGCATGCTGGAAAATCAGCAGCTGATCAGCACTTGCAGCCAGTGGCTGCGAGCACAGAACAATGTGTTTTGGCGTGGGAGCAGCCCCCCTATCAGAAAGCAATAGCTCAGCGGAGAGTTCGATGTATTAACACTGCATAGGTACTACAGGTAGCTCCTTTTTTTTTTTTTTTTTTTTTTTAATTCAGCCTCTGGGGTGAACGATAAAAAAACTGCCTGTCTACACCAGGCTTTAGCGTCTCTAAGCACACATATATATGACTACTGGAGGAAGAGAATAGTGAGTTGCAATAAAGGAAGCTGCTTCTTCTGGTTTCTCACCCTTCTGACACTATACAAAGTCTGTGCCTTGCTCATTTCTTAGAACTGTCACTTTTGTCTTTTAACTCATGTATGTGAGACCTCAAACTCCCAAAAAACCACAAACAGGAAACAGTCTCCTTCTGAGAAGAGCAAAGCCAGTTATGCTAAATAATGACAATCTGTTACTTGGTCTTACCTAAAGTCTCACAGCTGGTGTTTCGGGAGCACTGACCACTGTCTCTGTCCAGGGAAGAGAGCTGTTCGTCAGACTTGCTAAGTTTTCCTATACTACTACATGGAGAAAGGCGCGGGGATTCACCACCATATGACTGACTACCTCCGGATAACCGTCGATGTGCATAACAATTCACTTCAAAATCCTTAGTGGAAAAAGGACAATTAGAGAGCCATGAAAAGACCTCATCGTAATTTTTGAAGCAGGACTTTTACCAGCAACATCTTACCGGTGTATTGATGCCTATAGGTAAACTGGAGCCACTTGTAGCTCGGCTCATAGGTGCTACAACAGCCACACGGGTGGGAGAAGGTGCAGATTGTCTTTTCTTTGGAGGTAACGCAGGAGGTGGGCTGCAAAAGAAAAAATTACAGAACCGGATATTTTATCGAATTGTCAGGCCATAGTTACACAAGGCTACTGTCTAGAAAGGCCAAATTATGGGGAGGGTGACATCGGCACTTGGGGAAGACAGTCCAATTCTACTTAGAAACAACTTCTATAGCTGAATATCTGTTTGAACTAAAAACCATTAAATTACCCATTTTCCATCACCCGTATGCCAGGTAAAGGGGGTTTGGGTGGAGCAAGCTCATCAGTCTCCACGCAGTCTACTGGAACATCCTTACAAGGTGGCTCAGGTGACTTGTTAAGAATCTCCAGCTCTCTCTCAGACAAAGGCAACTCTTGCGTGCTGCAAAAAAACCCAAAAATCTAGTGACTGCCGCCATTATTCTACTCCAAATAAAAAGGCACATAGCACTTTCTGAGGCTCACCTGTCTGATTTGCATGCAGGTAAGGCTGGTTTCACTGGACTGGTTGGTGATGGCCGCTCCTGCTTCTCAATCATCAATCGCACCAGTTCCTGAAAGGACCAAATAATGGAAATCAGCATGCTGATACAATACAACAGAATACCCAATACATATACACACATATATATATATATATATATATATAAAAAAAAGAGCATAATGTCTGTGACCCTCTTTACAGTGAAACTGAACAATCGCCACGTACCAATGCGACCATGCAGGAAGAGTGGAGGCAAGTAACATGCTTCCAGATACCTAGATAACAAAATGAGTGTTTCATGATTTTTTTTTTTCCTTCTTATCTGAACCTGAAGACTATACACTGCTGAGGACAAACTATGAAAGTTTCAGGATCCTTCCACCCCTCAATGAGCTTGAAGCCTATATGCTTCTGAAAATACAGTTAGGTCCATATATATTTGGAAACAGGCACAATTTTAATTTTTTTCAGGTATTTACCAAAACATATTCAAGCTATAGTTATATCATGGATATGGGCTGAAAGTGCACACTCTCGGGTATAATTTGAGGGTATGAACATCCAAACTGGAGGAAGGGTTTAGGAATTACAGCTCTTTTACCTGCAATTAAGCAGGTAAAAGGTCTGGAGTTGACTATAAGTGTGGTATTTGCATTTGGAATCTATTGCTGTGAACCTACATCGTGCGTTCAAAGGAGATGTCCATGCAAGTGAAACAGACCATTGTAAGGCTTAAAAAATGAAACAAATCCATCAGAGAGATAGCAGCAACATTAGGAGAGGCCAAATCAACAGTCTGGTGCATTCTGAGGAAAGAAGACCGCACTGGTGAGCTCAGCAACATAAAAAGGCATGGATGTCCATAGAAGACAACAGTGGTGGATGATCGTAGGATCCTCTCTTTGGTAAAGAAAAACCCATTCACAACATCCAGAGAAGTGAAAGACACTCTCCAGGAGGTGGCAGTAACACTGTCAGTCTACAATCAAGAGAAGACTTCATGAGAACAAATACAGAGGGTTCACCTCAAGGTGCAAACCATTCATAAACCTGAAGAATAGAAAGCCAGATTAGACTTTGCCAAAAAAAAAAAAAAAAAAAAATCTAAAAAATCCAGACCAGTTCTGGAAAAGTATTCTTTGGACAGATGAAACTAAGATTAATCTGTACCAGAATGACGGGAAGAAAAAAGTGTGGAGAAGGCTTGGAATAGCTCATGATCCAAAGCACATAATATCATCTGTAAAACATGGTGGAGGCAGTGTGATGGCATGGGCATGCATGGCTTCCAGTGGCACTGCGTCATTGGTGTTTATTGATGATGTGACAGAAGACAGAAGCAGCCGGATGAATTCTGCAGTATTTAGAGATATACTGTCAGCCCAGATTCTGCCAAATGCAGCAAAGTTGATTGGATGGCTCTTCACAGTACAGATGGACAATAATCCAAAACACTGCAAAAGCAACCCAGGAGCTTTTGAAGGAAAAGAAGTGGAATATTCTGCAATGGCTGAGTCAGCCACCTGATCTCAACCCAATTGAGCATGCATTTCACTTGTTGAAGGCAAAACTAAAGGCAGAAAGACCCACAAAGAACAACTGAAGACAGCTGCAGTTAGAGCCTGGTAAAGCATCAGAAAGGAGGAAACCCAGTCTTTGGTAATGTCCATGGGTTCTAGACTTCAGGCAGTCATTGCCAGTAAAGGATCCTCAACAAAATATTACAAATGAACATTTTATTTATGATTATTTATATTCAATTGTCTAATTACATTTGGTGCCTTGAAAAAGGGGGGGGATGGCTACTCTTAAGAGCTGTAATTCCAATTTGGATGTACATACCCTCAAATTAAACCTGAGAGTGTGCACTTTCAGCCCATATCCATTATAGAACTATAGATTGAATATGTTTTGGTAAATACCTGAAAAAAACTAAAATGGTGCATGTGTCCAAATATATATGGACCTAACTGTAAATTAACCCTTTGCCTTTTTTGTGTTTTATTAGAATAGGGCACATTTATCCTTCACTCTCTTCATGGCTGCCAGCATCACTTATCTCAGGGAGAATATTGACTGGAACAGGTTTTGTAACCTGGATGAATGACACTCCCTCCCTCCTTCAATTGGCATCATGCCTGCCACTGTTGGGTGGGAGAATGTCATCCTACAAGTCAGAAAACCTATTCCAAACTCCACAGTTTTTCCTGATGAGCCAAGTTAGTCAATGAATAAACTGCTGTGCATTACCTTGAGGACAGTTTGCCCAGAGGAGTACATTTTATGCCTGCACAATCAAATGACTACTAAAAGAAGATCTACAGCAGATAAAATCTGATTCTGCAAGCTAGAGCATTCAACATGAAAGTACATGTCTTTAGCTGCACGTGGCCTAGTCACAGCTTTATTTTGAGTTCCATTTGTAGTCCTTCAAACCAGTCTTTCATGACCTACAGCAGAAAGTCTGGAGAATTCTTATAATGTTGAATATGAAAGGAAATCCAGCTATACTAAAAAACAAACTACACAGCTTCAGAGCAACAGGCAAAGAAAGAAAACAAATGACTAACAAAGGCAGCTCAGGTGTTGATAAGCTGTGAGCTCCTTGGATCCTACAATCTGGTGTACATTTGTGTTCACAGTAGACAGATGTGAGCCCCACTGTGTTGGAGCAAAATTTGCAAACATTTCAGCTGGTATAAATAAGAAGTCAGCAGATTCAGGAAAGCAGGCCATGCACAGCATTGTGAGGATCACATTTTGTACTATAGGCACAATCTGATAATAAGGTTGCAGAGACCCCAACAGCTTACTGACAGCAGGAAAAGATGGGGGGAGCTGAAAGGTTAAACAAAGGCTATACAGTGCTGAGCAAGGAGGGAGAGGAGGCCTGGAAGTCTCCCAAATATCTGACTTCATTGCCTGGATGACCTCACAGACTCAGACTCCAGCTGTGTCTCCCCAGAGGGGACATGCAGGCTGCCAGGCGCATGGCTTGGTTTAACCCCCTGGCTGCTGGAAAAATGAGGGCAGCCAAGTACTTTGCACATGTTCAGATGGAATAATCCACTAAACATGCTGTCATTGTAGGATTTTGTAATGCTGTTCAGAAAGGGACAGGGGTGTGCACAGGCACCACAGCCCCTAACTGGAAACATCACAGTGTAATAAATATTTCTATTTAAAGGAATACTCTGGTCATGCATTAAATTAGTACATTCACGAGTGCAGGGTGCTCATTCACATTTTTATTTTTTGTGAAAAGGTAAACTTACACTGTAACAGTTGTCATTATGATCTATATAATTAAATAGATCTATTTAAAACTGCATTATTCATTTTCATCTTTGTTAACTCACAAGCCCAGGCGAAGATGTACTGTGTAAGTGGAATTTCTGGTGCCTGGAAGGGGTAACCGGTTCAAAAGACTGGCTAAACAGAATTAAACATCTTTGCTAAGTAAGAGAGTTCACATATAGTGCCTTGAAAAAGTATTCATACCCCTTGACATTTTCCACATTTTGTCATGTTACAACCAAAAACGTAATTGTATTTTATTGGGATTTTATGTGATAGAGCAACACAAAGTGGCACATAATTGTGAAGTGGAAGGAAAATGAGAAATGATTTTAAAAATGTTTTACAAATAAATATGTGAAAAGTATGGAATGTATTTGTATTCAGACCCCAGGCCAATACTTTGTAGAACCACCTTTCACAGCTGCGAGTCTTTTTGGGGATGTCTCTACCAGCTTTGCACATCTAGAGAGTGACATTTTTGCCCATTCTTCTTTGCAAAATAGCTCAAGATCTGTTAGATTGGATGGAGAGCGTCTGTGAACAGTAATTTTCACGACTAACTACAGATTTTCAATTGGATTTAGGTCTGGACTTTGACTGGGCCATTCTAACACATGAAAATATTTTGATCCAAACCATTCCATTGTAGCTCTGGCTGTATGTTTAGGGTCGTTGTCCTGCTGGAAGGTGAACCTCCGCCCCAGTCTCAAGTCTTATGCAGACTGTAACAGGTTTTCTTCTAAGATTGCCCTGTATTTGGCTCCATCCATCTTCCCATCAACTCTGACCAGCTTCACTGTCCCTGCTGAATAAAAGCATCCCCACAACATGATGCTGCCACCACCATGTTTCACAGTGGGGATGGTGTGTTCAGAGTGATGTGCAGTGTTAGTTTTCCACCACACATAGCGCTTTGCTTTTAGGCCAAAAAGTTAAATTTTGGTCTCATTTGACCAGAGCACCTTTTCCACGTTTGCTGTGTCCTCCACATGGCTTCTCTCGAACTGCAAATGGGACTTCTTATGGCTTTCTTTCAACAATGGTTTTCTTCTTGCCACTCTTCTATAAAAGGTCAGATTTGTGGAGTGCACGACTAATAGTTGTCCTGTGGACAGATTCTCCCACCTGGGCTGTGGATCTCTGCAGCTCCTCCAGAGTTACCATGGGCCTCTTGGCTGCTTCTCTGATCAATGCTCTCCTTGCCTGGCCTGTCAGTTTAGGTGAATGGCAATGTCTTGGTAGGTTTGCAGTTGAGCCATACTCTTTCCATTTTTGGATGATGGATTGAACAGTGTTCCTTAAGATGTTCAAAGCTTGGGATATTTTTTTTATAAACAAAGAAACACAGTGCCTCTAAGTGTGTACTGTGAAGGTATTTAATAAAAAGATAAGTAGTAACTCACATCATAGAATTTAAAAACAGGCTCATGGGTAAAAGGGTGAGAAGTCTGTAGCCATGGGTAACGTTTTCCCTTCTGCAGAGTTATGCTTCGCTCCTACGCAGCTTGCCCTTAGTGCCTACTGGACTACCTTCACCCCTGCCCATTTGGGACTCATCAAACATACATGGACTGCCACACCATGCGCCTGTTATCCCTTTTGATATATTTTTTTTAACCTAACCCTGCTTTATACTTCTCCACAACTTTATCCATGACCTGTCTGATGTGTTCCTTGGTCTTCATGATGTTGTTTGTTCACTAATGTTCCCTAACAAACCACTGAAGGCGTCACAGAACAGCTGTATTTATATTAAGATTAAATTACACATAGGTGGACTCTATTTACTAATTAGGTGACTTCTGAAGGCAATTGGTGCCACTAGATTTTAGTTAGGGGTATTAGAGTAAAGAGGGTGGAATACAAATGCACGCCACACTTTTCAGATATTTGTTAAAAATTTTGAAAACCATTTATCAGTTTCCTTCCACTTCACAATTATGTACCACTTTGTATTGGTCTATCACATAAAATCCCAATAAAATACATTTACATTTTTGACTGTAAAATGACAAAATGTGAAAAATGTCAAGGGGTATGAATACTTTTTCAAGGCACTTTATTTGAACTCTTACTTAGCAAAGATATTTAATTCTGTTTAGCCAGTCTATTGAACTGATTACCCGGGGAACTTCCGCTTTAAAGATTGGTCCCCCGCTCCCCATTAAGGATTGGCACCTTTGGGAAGGGGGGGGTTGGGGGAACGGGTACCCGAATTTGACAGGTACCCACCCCCACTTCCGCTGCAATCGCCTAGGTGATCGGAAGCGGAAGTTGTCCTCCTACCCTCCCTCCCCGAAGTCTTGTGGGACACATGACAGGTGCCAGAAGATGACGGGGCCATTCAGGTAGCGCAGCGCTGCTCGCGCATGTGCAGTGGGCACCCAGCTGTGAAGCCGCAAGCTGTCACAGCCGGGTGCCCACACTTAAGATGCTGTCGCCTGGCATACAGGACGACTGGTGAAACAGGCTGCGGCGGGGGAAACGCGGGATCGTGGGACAAGTGAGTGGCTGTTTTTTTTAAAAGTCAGCAACTACGGTTTTTGTAGCTGCTAACTTTTATTTTTTTTTACAGAGTGAATGGAACTCCACTTTAATGATCAGTGTATTCTGTAAAAATTGCATTGTGGACTTGGTTTAGTAGAATACGTGGAAACTACAAAGCTATTATAAAGACATGTGTTCCTGGTTATAACAATTGTTCTGTCTAGCAATGTGACTGATTTATTCTACTCTTGCTGACACTCACTGGCACAAATAACATGGCAAATAATGACTGTAACTGCTTAGTAAATTGAGTGTATCTTCATTATACACCAATCAGCCATACGTCTATGGTCACCCACCTAATACTGAGCAGGTCCACCTTTGCCAAAACATCCCTGACCCATCGAGGCATTGACGCCACTAGACCTCTGAAGGTATGCTATGGTAGCTGACACCAAGCCGTCAGTAGTGGATCCTTTAAGTCCTATAGGTTGCAAGGTGAGATCTCCATGGATCAGACATTTTTCCAGCACATTCCACAGATGCTCAATTGGATTGGGATCTGGAGAATTTGGAAGCCAAGTCAACACCTCAAACCATTCTTGAACCATTTTTGCAGTGTGACAGGGAACATTGTCCTGCTGAAAGCGACCACTGCTATCAGGGAATACGGATTTCATGAAGGGATATACTTGGTCTGCAACAATCTACTGTATAGGTAGGTGGTATAGATCCTGCTACATGATGAGCAGGACCCAAGGATTTTCCATCAGAACACTGCATCTCACTGCCTCTGCCAGCTTGCCTTCTTCCCATACTGCATCCTGATGCAATCTCTTTCCCAGGTGATGCACACACCTGGCCATCCACATGATGTAAGAGAAAATGAGATTCATCTGACCAGGCCGCCATCTTCCATTGCTCTGGGGTCCAGTTCAGATGCTCACGTGCCCATTCTAGGTGTTTTAGGCTGCAGACGGGTCAGCATGGGCACCCTGACCAGTCTTTGGCTATGCAGCCCCATACACAACAGATTGTGATGCCCTTTATTTTGCTTTGAACACATCAACTTCAGGGACAACATGTTTACTTGCTGCCTAATAAATCCTGACTTTCAGATTGCATTGTAACAAGATAATTAATTTTATTCAATTAACCTGTCAGTGGTCATAAAGTTATGGCTGATCAGTGTATGATGTGAGAACCAAATGAAATCCCTCAAAAGCAAATTCATATTCTGCAAGAAAACTCCTGACCTTGACACCATCCAGCACAGCTTTTATGACGTCTTTCACAGTGGATACCATCTCCTTGTCCTCACAGTTGACACCCTCCAGCATGACCTGATCAGACCAGCGTATAAGGTTGGCAAGAGACTGGTACACTCGGTTGTAGCAGGAGGCGATAGCAGTACTGTGAACAAGGAGGAAAAAAATCAATGACTCATTGAAAAAAAATTAAAAGACTCCTCTCTTATCCATTAGCCTATTGCAATACAACATACACTTATGAAATGGCTATACACAAACTTTGTTCATGAACTTTACTACAGATGATTTGAGAACATGTACCAGAATTAGACTTGTGTATAGAGTACCTGTACTAAAAATACACTGCAAACTGGTTGTACATACAGCTATGTAGAGGGGACTACCCCTACATTTCATAGAAACATAGAAAAGTGACGGCAGAAAAAGACCGAGTGGCCCATCGAGTCTGCCGGGTTTTTTTTTTCTTGGGGTGGGGGATGTTTTGTTTATTTTTGTTAACTTTTATGTCTGAGTATAGATCTACGCTTGTCCCAAGCAAGTTTGAAGCTATTTACTGTTGACTGGCTCACTACCTCTGCTGGAAGTTTCTTCCAAACATCATCTGCTCTTTAAAATAGCAATTCCTAAAATTAGTTCAGCATCTTTTTGGGTGACCCAGGACACAAAAACATGCAGCACCATATTATGCAAATACCAGTTAGAGGTCATGTTCTGTCCACTCTCTCCCTTGTCTCAATATTGCTCCATCGCTGTAATCAATAGACAAACGGTGAGGTGCAGGAGGTGGTGGGCTTAACCACTTCCCAACCATGCTATAGCCGAATGACAGTTACAGTGCGGTCATCCAGTTCTGGGAGGGTGTCTATTGACATCCTCCCAGAATCATGGCCCCTGCACACATGCTGCAGCATGCACCCGACACTCTCTGTGATCGCTGTGTCTTTTGGACACAGCTGATCACAATCGTTGGTAAACGGCCAATCATAGCTGATCACGATGTAAACACACTTGTCGTTTATCGGCAGCACTTTCCTCACGCTGTCACAGTATGAGTAAAATACTGCCGATAAACGGCAAGTGTGATAGGAGACATCTACACTGATAATCAGGGCACTGATTATCAGTGCAGGCCCAATAGTACCCATCAGCACTGCCGATTAATGCCAAACAGTACCCATCAGCGCTGCCTATTAATGCCAAACAGTGCCCATCAGAGCTGCCAGTCAGTGCCTTCTATCAATGCCCTTCAGTGCTGCCTATTAATGCACATTAGTGCCCATCACTGCTGCCTCATCAGCACACATAAGTAAAGGAGAAAAATTACCTGTTTGCAAAATGTATAACAGAAACCAAGGAAGACGCTTTTTTTTTCAAAATTTTGGGTATATTTTTGTTTGTTTAGCAAAAAATACAACACCTAGTGGTGATTAAATACCACCAAAAGAAAGCTCGATTTGTGTGAAAAAAATGTTAAAAATGTCACTTGGGTGCAATGTTGCATGACCGCGCAATTGTCATTCAAAGTGCCACAGCTCTGAAAGCTGAAAATTGGCCTGGGCAGGAAGGGCGTAAAAGTGCCTGGTAGGCAAGTGGTAAACATGACTTCAATTCCAACAGCTGCTGTTTGTATAAAGGGGGAACATGAGGTTTAAGGGCACCCTAGAATATTAGCTTAGGGAGATGGCACAAGCTGGTGCTTGAATTTAAAGAACATGAGGACTTGCTGTAGGCCTACAAAGAGACAGGCTCTCCCTCAAAGTTGATTTTTTAGATTTGGATAGGAATGATAAGACTGTTCTAGTAAGAAAAAGTGGGGCTTCCGTTTGGCAGTTTTCTGCAGCACTGGTACCTGTGGATCATCTGAAGGAAGGCAAAAGGAGTACAGGTGGATATTTGTGTGGCACACGTGTCCTTTAACACAAACTGCTAATTTACTATGTTAACGTTCAACACAACCTGGATTCCAGTGCTGCTGTGAACAACTTGAGAACTAAGTGAAAGCAGTAGGATGTTAGGCAGTGCTCAGTAGTAGATTCACAAGTCTCCTTAAAAGTAACTTCAGGGTACAGGAAGTATTGAAATGAGAAGCCTGTGAATGCCTCAACTACTGGTACAGCGCTGAGCAAAACTTTTAGCGCTATATAAATACTATATAATAATACTGGGGTCCTATAAAGCCTTATCAGGTTTATACTGAGTATTACTTCCTAGGGAACACTACCTGTAGTAGCCCTATTTGGACTTTGGTACTCCAGTGAAATCACTTCAACAGTATGTCACATGATCAAACCTGGCATCCCTTACGCAGGCCGAAGCATTGCTGTCCATAGAAACATATTCAGAATCCACAATTGTTGTGTATGGTTTAAAAAACTGCAACAGGTGAGAAAGGGAAATGTTCTGTGAGGCTGGACTTTTCAATCTAAAACTAGGAATTAATGGATGTAGACAGTAACAGATAACTGTCCACAAACACCCAACTAAGCCTGGGCCACATCAGATAACCACCCCATTTTATGGGCACAACTGGGGGATGAATGAAGAAGAGAGATATGTTTGCTGTGCTTGTCTAGTTTCTATTCTTCCCCTTACCCATCCCTGGAAAAAGCTGACAGGTGACTTGCCTAGAAATGTAACATTTCTGGAAATTGTAAAGCCATGGGAAAAAAACAACATTTTTTTCAAAATGGAAATTTTTGAAAAAATTGAAAAACAAATTAGTGTGGAATAGTTTTACAAATTGAAAGTCATTTTGTTACACTGGGAATGTGAAATACAGTGTATAACCCTCTTGTACTGAACTGTATTGTTGCTGTATTGTCTCCTGTTATATTGTATAGCGCTCAGCAAACTTTTGGTGCTATATAAATCCTGTATAATAATAATAGATAAAAGCATTACACTTGAAATAAAGCTACAGCTTATTCAGTAAATAAACTAAACTTGCTTTTTAAAATTGTATTTTTTGTTAAAAATAGAATCACAGACTGTATATGCTAAGAACATTTTAACTATACATGAGAACAGGTAACCGCCCCCCTTACTCTTTTCCCTTACAATAAATTAATATCTTCCTGCCAGTATGAATTTTTAGTAGTTGATCATGCTGATCCAGATACATATATTGCTTGATCAGTGTTCTGATTTCCAGGTGTCATTTTAACTATAAATGAAGAGATTGTGTATTTTTGCGAGGATGTGGTTTGTAACACTTCCTTATCTGAAGATGCTGCTGGTGAAGTAATACTTTGTGATGATCCAGAAGCAGCAAAAAGAGTGTTTCTGGAATGGGAAAAGCTACTTTCATTATGGTCCTCATCATTTAATTCCATAAAGCATTTTTAATGTCTTCAGGGGACCTCTGGCATGCCAGGATGTGTTTTGTCTGTCATCCTTGCATCATTTGGAAAAGAATATTTCTTCTCACAATATTTACAAATTGCAGCTCTGCTCTCAGCAGAAACTGTACTGTGGAAATATTTCCAAACTCTAGATCGGGGGTCTCCAAACTTTCCAAAGAAAGGGCCAGTTTACTGTTCTTCTGACTTTTGGGGGTACGGCTGTGCCCAGTGCGGGTAAACAATACAAGATTCTTGGTATTAAGGGGAGAAATAGTTGATGCCAGTAGGAGGAATAGTGCCCCATTGTTGGTGTCAGTGAAAGGAATTATGCCCCATCATTGGTGTCAATAAATAAATCGTGCCCCACTGTTGTTGCTAGTGGCAGGAATATTGCCTCAAGGGCTGAATAAAGGAAAGCAAAAGCCACATCTGATCCCAGGGCCACAGTTTGGAGACCACTGCTCTAGATATTGGTGTCACCATTTTACTGAGAGGAGGAAAAGAAAACCAATTTACTGAGCAGACTATAGGTAAACATTATGCTGTGATGGTGAACATTAATAGGAATCATTTAAAGGTTATAAATATGAACTAATTTGTCAGACAAATGTACCCTCTTACCTGTCAATTAAGGCCTGAGAGGACAAACTATCTACTGTATTTCAAAAATCACCCAACTAGGAGGTACAAGATGGAGCCCATTAGTAAGCTAAATTGGAGAATTTTCCCTGCAGTGCCCCCTCGTGGCAGAAATCCATATTTCTCTTGTTTGACAACTGCATTGAGAAGTACAGTGTTACCTGAATTGTATTCCAGGATTTGCTTGTCTTCAACTGAAAGAACTTAATAATTTGAGACATTACATAGAGTCTTAGAAATCTTTCATTAAGATCTTCATGTTATATAGTTTGAATACAATGTCAGATATATTTATCATTGTAAAAAACATATTCCACACTTATTTTTTTTCAATTTTTATGGAATAAAAAAAGCTTTGAAAAAAACACCCCCCAAATTTTCTGGGCCTCCCCATCTCTAGATTTGTCACACCAATACTTGACTTTCATTCAGATAAAAATGCACTCTTAGGCATACTTGAAAAAGCTAAAGGTGCATTTTAAACAAAAAATAGGGCCTGCATAATTGGAGGACTTTTGATCATTGCTGAATATATGACTGTCCTTCTAAGTCAATGGCAACGCATATCTTTGATGCAAGTGATGTTCATTGAAAGAAAAAGTATTGTAACTGCACAAGAAGCCCCTTTTCACTATTCCCATACACACGTGTAAGTTAAATCAAATAAAGCAATAATAGCAGACTGCAGTGAAATCTGCACCAGCTCAAGACTGAAAAGTTTACCTTTGTTGCGTGTGTGTATCTGCCTGCACCAATGGAAGAATGGCTTCCAGGACTTTGCTGGCGGATCCCGGTAGCATCACCAGCACCATCTTGTCTACAGCCATTTTATCTACAATGGTCTTAAAGTAGCGTAGGGCATTGACGACTTCTTTCTCCTGTTCCTCCAACCGGCTCAGAGTCTAAAAGAAAGAATGGTCATGTATTGAGAACATTCAATATAATTTCACTCAGCGCTATAGGAAGATCAGTTTGATGTAGTAATATCAATATGTATAGAAGCAGGTGCTGCTTTTAGGCCTGAAGTGATATATAATAGGTGTACTTTCTTGATCCTTATCAAAATGCAAATCTAAATGCTCTCCTTGTGTAGTTGATATCTTATCGCACAGATTAACAGGTCTGCCTTTAATTAAATTATTGCAGAGCCCCCACCTCAAATTAAAGACAAACATCAAAAGATGCACAAATAAAATTAAACTGGGAATGAGAATCTTGTCTAAAGCCTGGTGAGTAGAAGTTTTTTTTGTGCAGCCCGGTGGGCTGAGCGAAAAGAAAATGAGACATTGCAGCAGTGACACAAGCTATGTTAGTGCAACGGTCTCCCCCACTGAACCTTTGTGCCTCCCCCCCTTCCCCACCTGAACACACTTATCAGCGCTGGCAGCCAGGCAGGTACTGGTTTTCCAGCATGCCTGTTTGACATAAGCCTGTCAGTTGTACACACGGGCCGAAAGTCGGGCAGCTCCTGCTGAACTGGCTGATTTTGCTGCGTGTGTACAAGGCTTAAAGCTGATAAAGTTTTTTCTACTGTAAAAAAAAAAAAAATCCATTATTGAACGCTTTTAGATACAATGTGGCAGAAGGCAAAAATGTGCACCACAAATCATGTACAACACACAAAAAGAGCCATATAGAAAAGACATATTACCTAAATAAGCCTCACAGAGACTACAACTGTATAGGATCATGCAGGTTAAAGTCAGTGCAAAATAAAACCGCATTAATCCAAACATGTCAAACCCCTTAGAAAGAGGGGTCAAGTGGAATTTATCCATGCGGACAGTTTCTTTTTATTGGATCAGAGATAGATTCCTCTATCCACACATTCGAGGTGAAATGAGGAATGGTCCCCTTTGCGCTGTTGTATATGGACAGCAAAACTCCACTGTCAGAAAACACCGATTAGCGCGGCAGCAAACTGGCTGCAGAACTGATTGAAAACAAAATTCCAAATTATCTAAACTCAGCTGGTCCCTTCAGAACTTTGATCCATCTATGGCAAACTTAAAAAGGTAAGTTCACCTTTTCGGGCACAATATCCTTTTTCATAAATAAAAAAAAAGTGTTTTCCAATGCCATTTCAGACCCAGCCATCCTAATGTGATTTACTCTCACTTACCTTATCCACAGGAGATTCAATTTCTTGGCAGTTTATTAGAATATTTTTTAATGATTTTCAGATTCCATCACTTCCTGTATATCATCTCTCAGCATTCACTTTCTGTAGGCCATCTCCCAGAAGCCTTTACTTCCTTGTTGAATCACAGAACAATTGCCCCAGAGAAGCTTCAGAACTTTTTCTTGGAGCGGAGCACATAGCGTTGTCACCGTTTTTGGTGTGTTTGCTGCACGAAGGGCAGCACAGTGGCTAAATGGTTAGCACTTCCGCCTGGCAGTACTAGGGTCATTGGTTTGAATCCTGCCTGGAGTTTGCATGCTCTCCCTGTGCCTGTGTGGGTTTCCTCCCACACTTTAAAGACATGCTGGTAGGTTAATTGGATCCTGCCTAAATTGGCCCTAGTGTATGTATGAATGTAAGTTAGGGACTTTAGATTGTACACCTCTTGAGGGTTAGGGACTGATGTGAATGTACAATATATATGTAAAGCGCTGCGTAAATTGCCGGTACTATATATAAGTGCCTGTAATAAAAAAATAAAATACTTTGAGTGCCTTTAACATGTAATGACAACACCAACATGATGCACATTTGCAGTGTGTTTCTGAAATGCATGGAAAAGCATGCATTTTCTGTGCAGTTTGCCATGCACTCAGAAACACACAGATGTGAATGGAGTCTCATTGATCTTGTGTAAAAAAAAAAAAAAAAAACAATTTCACTTTCAGGCCCCAGCCATAACTTGAGACTGTTTTTTGGCTCGTTTTTTCCAGTGACACACATAGAGTAGTCTGTTGATTTCAATGGGCTGCACTACATGTGGCAAAGTAGCTCATGGGACATTTTGGCGTGGTGTGAGTCGCACATTCTTTACTGTGCATTTTGCTGCATTTCTCACCCGTTTTTTCACGTGGCAAAATGCGTGTGTGCTTCTGTGTTTAGTGTGCCGATAATTATGACACTGAAAGTGCATCTGAGTAATTTTAGGTGAGTAAATGTGGCCATACACTGTAAAATCTGATTGTACAATCTCCTTTAGATTTACCAAAACTATATAATAGGAGGACACACCATCTATTCCAATCAGTCTGTATCCAATCAGGCAGGTCTTGCCAGCTACATGCGGCCTGAGCCCATGTGAAGGGATGCTGGGGAAGGCAATCAAATGCACACATGGAGAGATGCCGGGGAGGCTGTGGAAAACATAGTTGATAGGTGAAGGATGTGTGTGCTAATGAGATCACCTGGTAAATTCCTTCCTGGGTCTTACTGGCTTCTCTGTCCTCAATCTACATACCAGGGAATGAGGAAGCTTTCTAAGAAATATAGTAAGGGCTAAGGTAAGGCCTTGTTCTCAAAATCAAAGAAAGCTTTTATTTTTCTGCACCCAAGGTACAATAATGGTATATTGGTACATAGGGAAGCTGGCTGTTCTATGTCTACTTAAAAAAAGAGGGTTTTAAAATAGTTGTTTGGGCTTTGAGACTTCTAGTGACATACAGAAAGGTGTTCTAAAGAAGGAGAGTAGCATAAGAGAAGCTCGAGATGCAAAAGTGGGGAAGAAGGAGGTTTAACAACCATTACTGTGTGGTCTGGATATATTTTATTTATTTATCTTTTTATTTCGGGTACTTGTATAGCGCCGTCAATTTACGCAGCGCACATCAGTACCTAACCCTCAAGGGGCGTACAATCTACGGTCCCTAAGTCACATTCATACATACACATACTAGGGCCAAGTTAGACAGGATCCAATTCACCTACCAGCATGACTTTGGAGTGTGGGAGGAAACCGGAGTACCCGGTGGAAATCCACGCAGGCACAGGGAGAACATGCAAACTCCAGGCAGGAGGTGCCGTGGCTGGGATTCGAACTAACGACCCTAGTACTGCCAGGCAGAAGTGCTAACCATTTAGCCACAGTGGCTAAATGACGGTACAAAGACTGCGGCAGAAGTGCATGTGCATCAGACCACTGATATAATGGAATCATCTATCCAAGTGTGTCATAGTTCTTCCTGAATTACCCACCCTACAGAAGATTACATGTGTCATTTTCAAAACTACCTTGAAAAAAAAAATGAGAAAAAAAAAATAAAAAAACCCTCTGAAATCGAAGAGCACTCAATTCTCTCTTGCTTCTTTCTAGCAAATTCTGCAAGAATATAAGATGGTTTCAACAGAAACTTGGAGGCTCAGAGTTTCACTATGATCTGGGAGTATTTCACAGTCATTGTGTGACCTGACTGTACTTTCCAAACTCATGTATTCTGAATGACACTGCAGGGGGCTCACACATCTAAACCATAAAATGTCACACATTACCAGAGCTAGTGATTTTACCCATGTTAATGAGTCAGCTAAGAGTTAAAGCTGATGATTAGATAACAGCTTACTATGTACAAGAGCAGTGTTCACATTTACATCCAACACAAAATAATGGATTTCATACATTACAGTGCTAGATAGATTACTGTTCACAGCAAGTAATCTGTAATGAAAGCTAAAAGTATATGTAAACCTTAACCCTATCAATCTGCAGGTTTGTCGTGACTATCTGTCTAGCAGAAAGGCAGCCCAATGGCCAAATGAAGGCGAGCACACGGCAGACTGGCAGGCCGCTGTTAATTGGAAAGCTGGCCATACACTGTTGAAATGTCAGCCGGTTCCTGAGGAGTCAACCTGCTGTCCATATAATGTGTGTCAGACCAAAGACAGGCTCAATGTGCTAGGCTTTAAACATGCTTATAACCATAAGATCATACACGTATGTATTCTCTATAATAGGTACTTATATGTGACAACTAACCTGCCCAACCTCTAGTGAGCTCAGGACCATCCTTGAGCCTGGGTTTACATATGCGGTGCGGTATATCACGTGCAATTCGCACAGGAACCGCACCGCATTCCTGTGCAAATCCCATGCGATTTGTGTGCGGTGCGATTTGAGCCATACATTCTGTATGGTTCTAATCGCACCCGCACCAAAAAGATGCAGCACACATTTTTGGGTCCGCACTAGAATTGGATCGCATGGGTATTCACACCTATGTGATCCGATTCTGCACATCGCACTGCGTTTTGTGGACCGCTTTTGGGGTGTTCTTAACACACACCCGCAGCCGTTCGCATGAATGGGGTGTGATGCGGAATTTGCATAGAAAAACGCTGTGAATTCCGCACCGCATCAGTGTGAACCAGGGCTGAATCAGATTTACCCATGTGTACACATGACAAAATATTACAGATTAGGATGTTCAGTCCCTGTACTGAACTTCTGAACAGCGCAAACAGGAATGGAAACATAATGAGGGTCATTATGCGTCTCACCTGGTAATAATCCAATTGCATAATAGATTAGGTTAAAGAGTCTTTTGCTAATGCAGGCCATAGACGGGACGTTTATCGACCAAATTGTCGGCCGATAAATGGAAAATCGGTCATTGCTGCCACCAATGCTTATAAAAAACAGCCATTTTTTGTAGATTTTCCAGCATGACCGATAAAAAGAAACAAGAAGAACCGCGAAAAAATATCGGCCGATGACATTGCCCCAATAACGGTGTGAATATCGGCCGAATTTTCGTTCGGCCGATAAAACAACCCGTCTGTGGCCTGCATAAGTTAGAAGAGATATAAAACAATGAACTTAGTCTAAAATGATCCAAAATGTATGATAACTGGACCATGTACATGTAGATATTATTGGCAGTTTGGAAGACATGCAGGGACATGGTTAAATGTCGGTCAATGGCATTAACTCTTTATGTACTCTTTGTGGCTTTTTACATTACCCTGTAATCACACAAGTGTTGTAGGCAGCACTGATCCCTGCTCCATGTATGGAATTAGAAGGCTGCCAGACTGCACCAACTATTACAGGGAGAGACATGAACCAGCTGAAGCTCAGATCTCTCCGCTGGGATGTGAACATTTGGCCATGGAAGTTAGAGCCTTTCAAGCAGTTGGGTGAGGCAATCCTCAGCTGTGGGGTGTGGTGGAATACCATTCTCCCAGGAGTACAACTCACATCCCATCCTACAGCTGTGGGGTGGGAGATCAAGCAACAAGACCAGATAATATCACAGGGTGACACAATCCACATTGCCTGATAAAAGCAAACACTTCAAACCCATGTACAGCAGCTTAAATGGATGTGCAATGAAAAACTCAGGCCAAGCATGTACATTCTTAGAAGCAGAGGAGAGCAATTACAGTACACAGAAAAGGGAAAAAAAATCAGAGAACTTGTGTGCAGCAAACCAAGTCTCATGCTTCAGATGTGCAAACTTGTTCCATGTCAGTGAAACAGAAAGCACAGAAATAATACAGTCCGGGAACCAGCATTAAGTCAGCATTGGCAGCCTCCATGATTCTCTAATGACAAGTTACATTTAAAGAGATTTTGCTCATTTAAGAAACCCCCTGATACTCCCCATCCATAAACTCTTGTTTCCTTCAGAGGTGAAAATGTTAACACACTGCAGGTTCCATGGTGTCAGAGGTTACACAGGGTTAAAGATGAATTCCATGTATTGAGATTTTATACATAATTAAATTGGTCTAGCTTGAACCAATGTAACTTTGTATATACTACACCTAGCTGAATCACTGAAGTAGACACCACTTCTCCGCTGATCTCCACTTACTTCCAGGTCCAGTTTGGAGCAATGTAACTACATATATATACCAGATCTGGCCGATGTCCCTGGAAGCTGGAAATCACTGAAGTAGACAACGCTTCTCCGCTGATCTCCACTTACTTCCAGGTCCTGTTTGGAGCAATGTAACTACATATATAGCAGATCTGGCCGATGTCCCTGGTAAGCTGGAAATCACTGAAGTAGACAACGCTTCTCCGCTGATCTAAACTTACTTCCAGGTACAGTTTGGAGCAATGTAACTACATATATACCAGATCTGGCCGATGCCCCTGGAAGCTGGAAATCACTGAAGTAGACACCACAACTCCAGTCATCTCCACTTACTTCCAGGTCCCATGTCGAGCTGCCCTGCTGCACTCTGCTTGTTACGGATGCCATGCAGAGAGTGCTTTGCATTTTTGAATTAATGCAAAGTGATCTCTGATTGGACAAGGTGGAGAGCATGATGTCACTGCCCGCCTCTTCATGTTAAAAAAACTACTTTTATTAAAATTAAAAAAGCAGTACAACAATATAATGTAGTACATTATATGAACAAAAATAGAGACATCAAGAATTCAGAGTAGCTTCAACTGTCCGCCACTTCACTTTAACCAATCACAGGACACTTTGCGGCCAATCTCCTGTGTTCAATAAGCAGAAGTGCGGCCACTCAGCACAGGACCCAAAGGCAAGTAGAGGGCACTGGAGTAGTGGTGTCAACTTCAGTGATTACAAACTTCCAAGGGCATCAGCCAGGTATAGTATGTGCATAAGTACATTTGTCCAAGCAGGACTAATGTAACTATATATAAAATATCCATACCTGTAATTCTTACATAGTTAGTCTGGCTGAAAAAATACAAAAGTCCATCCAGTTCAACCAAAAAAAAAAAGTTATAATCCTATACCCACAGTTGATCCAGAGGAAGGCAAAAAACCCAGCAAAGCATGATCCAATTTGCTCCTTCAGGGGAAAAAATTCCTTCCTGATCCCCCGAGAGGCAATCGGATATTCCCTGGAACAACTTTACCTATAAATGTTAGTATCCAGTTATATTCTGTGTATCTTAGAGAGAATCCAGGCTTTTTTTTAAACCAATCCACTGAGCTGGCCAGAACCAACTCTTAAAGGGGAGTCTATTCCACATTTTCACAGCTCTCACTGTGAAGGAACCTTTCCGTATTTGGAGATTACATTTCTTTTCCTCCAGACGTAAAGAGTGCCCCCTTGTCCTCTGTGATGACCTCAGGGTGAATAACTCTACACCGAGTTCACTATATGAACCACTGATGTATTTATACATGTTGATCATATCCCTCCTTAATCTCCTCTTCTCAAGAGAGAATAAATTCAGTTCCTCTAATCTTTCCTCATAGCTGAGCTCCTCCATGCCTCTTATCAGTTTGGTTGCCCTTTTCTGTACTTTCTCCAGTTCCCCAATGTTCTTTTTGTGAATTGTTGCCCAAAACTGAACTGCATATTCCAGATGAGGTGTTACTAATGATTTGTACCGGGGTAATATGATATCTCTCTCTGGAGTCTATACCTCTTTTAATACAAGAGAGGATTTTGCTCGCTTTACAAACCGCAGCTTGGCATTGCATGCCATTATTAAGCTTGTGATCTACCAGAACCCCCAGATCCTTCTCCACCATTGATTCCCCCAGTTGTACCCCCCTAGTATGTATGATGCATGCATATTCTTAGCAAGTGCATAACTTTACATTTATCAATATTAAACCTCATTTGCCACATAGTTGCCCAATTAAACAGTGCATTGAGGTCGGCTTGTAAATTGAGGACATCCTGGAAGGACGTTATTCTACTGCACAGCTTGGTGTCATCTGCAAAGACTGAAATGGGATTTTTAATCCCAGACCCTATATTGTTTATAAATATATATTAAAAAGTAAGGGTCCCAACACTGAACCTTGGGGTACACCACTGATGACCCCAGACCATTCAGAGTATGAATCATTAACTACTACTCTCTGAATACGATCTTTTAGCCAGTTTTCTATCCATTTATATACAGATTTTTCCAAGCCCGTAGACTTTACCTTACACATTAGCCACGTGGGGAACTGTGTCAAACGCTTTTGCAAAATCCAAGTATACCACGTCCACTGCCATCGCTCTGTCCAAGGTTTTGCTCACCTCCTCATAAAAAGAAATCTATGTGGTCTTTTATTAAACTCTCCAGTATCTTCCCAACTATAGAAGTTAAACTAACAGGTCTATAATTACTTGGTAAAGATTTTGACCCCTTTTTAAATATTGGTACCACATTGGCCTTATGCCAAACCAGTGGTACTACACCAGTCATTAAAAGAGTTCCTAAAAATGAGAAACAATGGCTTTGAAATGACAGAGCTCAATTCTTTAAGGACTCGTGGGTGTATGCCATCCGGTCTATGTGCTTTATTCACCTTTATACTGTCTAAATATTTTTGGATCATATCAGCTGTGAGCCAATGTGGATCATCTGGAGCTGCGTCAACACCATGTCCATTATGGACAAGAGCTCACCCATGCTCCTTTGTATACACAGAGCTGAAGAAGGTATTAAATAAATTTGCTTTCTCTTTATCCCCAGTCACCCACACTAGATTACTTTGTAAAGGGCCTACATGCTCGGTCCTGACCTTTTTACTATTAATGTATTTGAAGAGTTTTTGGGGGTTGGTCCTGCTATCTTTTGCAATCTGTCGTTCGTTTTCAATTTTTGCAGCCTTTACTTCCTTTTTGCATATTCGGTTATATTCTTTGTAATGTTTAAACAATGATAGCATTCCTTCATTTTTATATTTAATAAAAGTTCCTTTCTTATCTATAGCTTTTTTAACTTTGGCCGTAAGCCACACAAGTTTGATTTTTAGCCTTTTAAAAACTTGTTGCCCATGGGAATATATTTTGCAGTGTGTTCACATAGTCTTTTTGAAGAACTCCCATTTCTGTGTTCATCGATGCCAATATTCCCTCCCAGTCTAAGTCTTGGAGAGCAGCTCTCAGCCTTGGAAAATTAGCTCTCAAAGTTTTCTATAACTTCTTCCTTACCCTCACTACAGCTTTATGTCTTGGCGACTGGATGCTTAGACCCAAACACCGCATGCTGGGAGGAAGCCACATGCTCTTCCATACCCAGAAGATGTGACTATTTACTAAGGGATTCCAACAGAGCAAAGTAGTGGTAGGGTAGTGTGGCAAAGGTGTGTGCCAGCTGGTGGGGGCTTATTCTAGCTGAACACCTATTAGTTCATTCTTGCAGAGAATTTTATGGTTCTTGAAACCGAAACACAGCATACAAAAGAGGAGATCATGAAAAAGAAAGTGGATCACTCACTTTATTAACAGGTTTTTCTTCAGGTTTTACAGTCAGGTCGGCAGGTTTCCCTTTCTTAGAAGGCGTTCTCTTGATGATCTTAGGAGAGTGGAACTTGTCCTTCAATTTCATAGTGAAAGATGAGAGGTGGGAACGCTGACTATCTACAAACAAAAAAAATCAAAGAAAAGCATTAGAAGGTATGTTCTACAGACGGACAAAGGTGTGCAGAGAACCAATTATTATTAGACCAAGAATCTGGGCTTACATAGGAAAAATGTCTATTTATTTATTACAGGTACTTACAAAGCACTGTCTATTACATATATTGCACATTCACAGCCTTCCAGGCCCTTGAGAAGCTTACAATCTAAGGTTTTATTTATTTAGCATTACTTGCTTTGTCTCAGTTGGTCTCTTCTACTGAGAATCAAAGATGAGAGGCCCGTCTAAGATCCAGCAGCTGCTGGCCTGTCAACTGCCTGTCTTCCAGATTATGAGTGCATATCACATCATCAAATAAGAGAGTCTATAAGGAGAATGTACACAAGCACTGAGGCTCGGTTATGTGATGCTTCAGTGCAAACTCAGGAGCAGGGAGACAGCAGTTTGTGTTCTCAGCCTGATGCCAAGCAGCTAACACAGCAGAACCTGTCAGGTTTTAGGAGGACATAAATATACATTTTTCTGAGTAAACCTGCACAGATGTAATAATGTAAAAAGATGCAGTGTTTACAAATTCCAAATCAGAGCACAAGCAAAACCACTCTTTAAAGTGGAACTCCAGAGCATCTTTTATTTGCTGTGAATAGAGTGAGAAAGACTTTGACCTTCTTCCAAGTTTTTGCTGTTGTGCCTGTACTGGGATTACTTCCCTTCACTTTTTGTTGTACCAGTAGCAGCAGAAGCCACAAGGAAAGGTAGTGGGGAGGAATGTTAGCAGAGACTATAATAAAAGCAGAGAATCCAATCCTCTCCCAGCCTACATAATGCTGAAAAACGTGCCGCTAGAATTCCACTATAAAGGCCAAATTCACCTTTAAAGGAAAAAATAAACTTATTTTTTCAGGAATAAAAAATGTGCATTTATTATTGGTTCCTGCAGGAGCCTGCAAAGCTTTGCACTCATAATCAGTGGACCAGGGGTGCCTTGTCAGACTCCTCCCGCACCTCCTTATGGGCGTTCAGTTAGAAGGCTGGAAGAAGAGTGAATAGACCACGAGCACGCTTATCAACAAATTCGTAGACCACTGAGAACTACAAGCCGTCTACTGTGGTCCTTCCCTGGACAGCTGCCCTGATTCTTTTAATGCAACAGCCGCTGCATGGGAGTAGAACCCCACCCACTGTTATTAGGAAGGGGGGGGCTCAAGGGATGAGGAGGAGTGATGGAACATGTGACTTCATAAATACGAGAGTAGATTGTGACATGCTCAAGGTGAAGTTAGCCTTTAAAATGAAGAAGGAAACAAACTCAGTGATGAAATTTTACATTGTGTCAGAGAATTGCAGGTCTAGCCGCTTACAGAACACTCATTCACATACAAGCCTGCGTCCACAGCTCTCATGACAGTAAGAAAGGATTTCACACGGGCCCCAAGGTTCTTCACACGCCACAGGCACCAATATCGATAAATACACACCAATTTTGAACACTGAAGCAAATGCTTTGGAATGAAGCTTTAAACAGGGCTGTTTTGAATGGCTTTGTAGCTTGTTTTTGAGATTAGCTTGAGACACCTCTGAGATCATTTAGGGCTCATGAACAGGGGTGGTTTGGCATGTACGGCATGAAAACCTGGTGTTTTGAGGCAAAAAAAAAAAAAAGGCAAATGAATGTCTGGCTGAATTCCGGACCAAGTAGCACTCACATTTAGGGCTGTACATGTTAAGGCTCCATGTACACTGCAGATGCTAAACTGACATTCAGGAGCTGTTTGGCATTTTTCTCAGCAGCCCCTGAACTCTCCCTAATGTTTTCCTATGTGTACACGTCATTTAGTCATTTGCAGGCAGTTGAGTTTATAGTCATTTATTTTTTTTTAACGCACCAAACTTGCGTTCGGGAGTAGATTTTACTGGTGCTTCAAACAACAAATGCTTGTAAACGCGGTTAACCACATTTATAAGCGTTTACGTATGCGTTTACGTATAGAAGCGTTTTTTAACTGTTCCATATCCAGATGCTGTCCGGAACCTTTTTTCATCATCAGAAATGCTTGCAAAGTGTTTTTCCATGTATTCAAATGGACCCGGTACACCATTGCAGTCAGTTCTAGGTTTCATGCGAAGGAAAAAAAATGGTAAAACGTGCCGGATTATGCTCATGATGGGATCCACAGTGAATACAACAACCAGAAACGACAGGTCATCTCAACACATACTGCTCTCTCTGCTTCTGCTCTCTCTATTCCTCTCAAAATGTCTGAAATAGTTAATTTTTTACCATTTTTCAAGGCATTCTAGGCATTTGGGAAGGTCATCTTCAAAATACGCTTCTAAACGCAAACACGGATAAATGTGGTATACAAACGCGGCTAAACTGACGTTTTTTAACCTGCGTTTTCCAGCAGTCCGTTTCCATCATTCAGAAGAGTTTTCCAAATGCCTCGTGTACATGAACCCTAACATATGCACTGAACCTCCTTCAAGCTGCTTTTGAATTTTCATTGACTTGTTTTTGGTTAAGAAGCCATGTTGATGATTTTAATCTCCTATAGGGTAAAAGCTTGTCAGCACAGGCCAAATAACAACTGCAGCAAGAACATGCACAGGCACAACAGCATCAAGGTCCTTCACAACCAGCCTGACTTCAGAAAGCAGCATTCACTTGTGAATGGAAACGGGAGGGTCGTCTAGCTGCATTTACTCCCTATACCTTAGGAAAAGCTACATGATCTTATAATGCTCCTTCATAGCTGAAGATGGTGAAAAGCAGAAGTGGGCACAACATGCACAGTCTCATTGTGTCTCAGCAGCTGCTGCAGGCATGGAGGGACAGTACCGAGCATGAGTAATGTAAAGAAGCTCTTCTGATAAACCACACAGCTAGAAATAGTCTGCACAGCCACCATCAACACATAGCGGCTTACAGACCACAATCCTGCGCTAAATAGCACTTCTCCACAACCACAACACAGCAGCTGCTGTAGCGGCTGAGTGCTGAAGAATGCACTGCAGGGTATGGGGAGGGTGAATCACAATCCAGCCAGGGATCATCATAATAAAAATGGCATGTACCGAGAAGTTTCATGTTATGACTGTATGAAAGAGTAAACCGAGAGCTTTGAATGACTTCAACAGGAATACTATGCAGCTATTAGGCCTCTTTGTCACAGGCAGTTGTTCTGCTGCTTGTAAATGCAGGTTTATTTTGAAATTATTATTATTATACAGGATTTATATAGCGCCAACAGTTTGCTCAGAGCTTTACAATATAAAGGGAGACAATACAGCAACAATACAGTTCAATACAAGAGGGATAGGAGGGCCCTGCTCCTTGGGGCTTACAAATTCCAACACTCCTGGCACAGAGATCACTTGCATTTGTACATTGCGTTTATCTGCGTTTACATGCGGCTGCGTTTAGCTGCGGTAGTAAATTCTTGCCTTTTCTAATGCAACTGTTGACTTTTTTATTTCCTTGTACTGCGATTAACTGCATTTATGTACAGATAGCTGCGGTACATCGCTCCTGGAAGCTGTCACTTTAATTTTCCTAAACGCATAAAACCGTATGTTATGAAAACGTTGCTAAACCCAGTGTGTGAATGGAGCCATAGGGATGCATTGTCTGCATTTAGCTGCGGTAAGCAAGTTCTTCTAACTGCAGCTAAAAGCTGAAATCTAACCGCCCGTGTGAAAGGGGCCTTAGCATTTGGCTGAAAAATAAGTAGGACTTCAAATGTTTCTCTACTTTCCTGGGGGAAAAAAATTGTGCATAAAAAATAATATAACATATACAACTGCGACACAAAAGTCATGTTGTGATTGGATGTTATTAAAAATTACCTTGTAATTTTATGTAAAATGCAATGCAATATGGTTACCTGGAGATGTTTTGTACATAGATGGTGTACAGAAGGCCCCCCCAGAAACATTGTTTCCTGCTTGTGTAATTGGCTTACCGATTTCCCAGCAGTCTGCACTAAGATACAAGTCAAATTTTGGGCATCCCCTGCAACAAAAATATTCTTTTGATGAGATACTCCCAAAGGGAAAACACGTCTAAGGGCCAGTTCACACTACATGCATTTCAGTTGCTTTTTTTTCTACATCCAAAATGCACAGAAAAAGTAGGTTATATGGTTGTCAATGTCATAGTTCACATCAGTACTTGCAGTTCCAGTTTGTTCCGGTTGCAGAAAAAAAAAAGTAGAACAGGCTGCATTTTTTCTGCACAGAACTGTACTGGAACGCAGAAAAAATGCAAAGGAACACACCAAAAACGCACTGCAACGCTCATATCCCTATTTTAATTGAAGAAAAAGAGGGAAAAAAATGAACTGGAATGCGTAAAAAAACCCGCACTGGAATGCATCAAAAATCGCACTAAAATGCATCAATAACACATAAAAACCAAACTGGAACGCATCAAAAATGCACATGCGGAAACACTTCCAGAATGCGGAAACACTTCCTGCAGGAGCAGCAGCTGATTGGTAATTATGAAACCACTCCCATACAGACTCACTCGGCACATGGACACAGCCAAACAAACAGCTATTTCTTCAGAATTAATAAATGTAGGAATCTGCAACGTTTGCCCCCTGCAATGTACACACATCACCCAGAGGCTAGTGGGTTTTTTTTTCTCAACAAAAAAGGAGTTACTTTTTAGAGTGAACCTAAGCTCACTTTAAATCTTCTACACTGTGGGCAAACATGTACAGCATGTGAGAAGTTAAAGTGATTCTAAAGGCTTTTTTTGCCATCTTGCATGAATCTTTATATGCCTTAGAACAACTCCCCGGAAGTCTTCAATCCCAGAGAGCTCTAATTTACACTCAACTTCAACCGAAATTTATACATACCAAAACAGCTTTAATGGTTCACAAAACAGCCATCACATTTCAGGGGCAAAACATGCTATCCCTTCATCAGGGAAAATGCTACAAAATAATTGTAAAAAATGTAAAAAATTATTACAAATATATATAATCAATGGT